TTTGGTTTGCTGACACTGAACACTAACTCATATAATAGTGCATATTATTGTAAATATGTGCCGCGCTCCAAAAAATAAATAAATATACTATAAACCATGTGATTAAAAACCAAAATTAGAAAATGTATATATAAACATGACTAAAAATTGTCTATTAACCTTTATAGTATAATTCATAATATAAATAATCCAATTTGTGCAAAAAATTATTCATTGAAATTACATATAAAATATATATATATATATATATAGTGTCCACTCTGTGTTGTTAATCCAGTAAAACCAGCATCATCAAATGGACTTGATTTGATATTCTTATGCGCTCACCTTAATTTTAGCCTAACTGAAAATTAGGCTAAACAGCTTTTTGTCCTAAAAGGACAGATGAGATATTTTCCTGTGGTAAATCTCCTTCCCAAGATGTAGGTTATATGTTGTAATATTTCTATTATTCCACCTGGGGTCTCTCAGGTTAGCTGATCCCTGTGTTGGATATGGATGGATGGATTTCTCCCTCTCTTCCAGGGGTCTACTGCTTCCTTTTTGCTCCACTCTTCAATGCTCCATATAAGTATTGTCAAAAAAGAAGAAAGAACATAGTGCCTTATCCTTTTTTAACCTTTTATTGGTAAAATATGATATTCCACTCACATTTGCAAAATATAAAAAAACGCTTTTTGTATTGTGAAGAAAAAACCTCTGTGTGTGTTCTGCACACTTCCTGTACTTGCCGTGTAATCTAGAAAGCACCGTGACGTCAGAGCCCCTCCCCTACGCGTTACGCCACCGGGTCACATGGCTTCATCAGGGATTTATGATAGGACGACACAACCGCTGATAGCCTTATATAGGGCTTTCAGGCGCCATTTTGTTGAAGTCCGCATGGACGCGACCATCTTGTTGGGGTCTAAAAATTGCGATCTGTGCATGAACTGCACTCATTTTAGAGGCTGAAGATAATCTTATGAATAAGAATGTATATTATACTTTACTCTGTGTCACTCGACTGCTTTCCAGATGGTGATATTATGCAGACTAACACAGAGATTACCCACTTATCTTAAAACTAATATATACTGGTTAAAACTTTATATATGTGATTTGTATTGTATCTATAGTCATTTCAAACACAGTACATGTAACAGAATATGATATATCCTACTCTCAATTACTATATATATATATATATATATATATATATATATATCACTAAATCAATACTAGTTAAAATAATCATTACACTTTACAAATCACACACATACTCTCTGAATTTTATTTATATATTTAAAATTATTCTAAACACAAAAATAAAATAAATTAAAATTAAAAATGCAAGATTGTTTACCTCTACCTCATTCATATATCATCCTTAAAAATGATAATAAAAACCTTATAATACTAAAAAATTATTAAAATAATATATATATTTTGAGTCTCCTAGAGGTCATGGTAACCACTACTCCTAAGGATTTTTTAAAAAACCAACCCTATTCATTTTAATTATAAAATTGACCTATAAAATTAATCAGATTAATCCCATCATCACTGTAGATAGTTAAAATAATTTTCTAAAATAAATATTTAATTCATATTATGGAAATAAAAGTTCATATAGAAGAAAAAATGTAATAATTACTTATAAAACACATGACAGATCAAACTCTTTATTTAAACCATTAGAGGCTAGGCAACTCATTTCATAAACCCATTTAGACTCCTTCTTACTAATTTCTCTAATGGTGTTGTCCCCTCTCCAGTGGTTGGTATGTTTTTCAATACCCCAAAACTCAAGTAATCTGGCATCTTTATTGTGGTGCTGTCTAAAATGCTGTGAAACATAATGATATTTGTATCCTGTGTTAATATTGTACACATGCTCCTTTATACGCTCTTTCAACAGTCTTTTAGTGCGTCCTATATAAATTAAATTGCATGGGCACTTTAGAGCATAAATTACTCCTTTAGTATCACACAAAATGAATGGTTTGATTTTGTATTCTTTATCATTATGTGTGTTGTGAAATTTAAATCTGCATTTAGGATTATGTGTTACTCTCCTACAAATGTAGCATCATCCACACACATAGAAACCTACTCCTTGGAAAAAAACTGATAGTATTGCTCCTTAATGGTGGCTCTAAAATATTTTTTACCACTTTGTCTCTAATGGTAGGAGCTTTCCTATAAATAAATCTCGGTTTATCAGGAATTATATTATTTAAATGTTTGTCCAACTTCAGCACATTCCAGTGCCTATTAATTATATTCTGGACTGCTTTATACTGTTTATTATAATGTAAGACCACTGGTACCTCCATATATTCTGTATTTTCTTTTTGTGTATTAGTAAGCATGACTGTCCTATCCATCCGTCCCACTTTCTTTCTTTCCTCTATTTTTTCTTTATTATATCCCTTATTTATAAATCTCTTCGATAGTATCTCACTTTAGTCTATATAATCCATATCCTTTGTGCAATTTCTTTTCAGCCTCATAAATTGACCCCTCGGTATATTATTTAACCATGATTGATGATGGCAGCTATTCGTTGGGATGTATGCATTTCTATCTGTTAATTTAAAAAAAAAAATTTGTAGACAGATGAGATCCTTCTTTTCTAATTTGAATATCCAGAAAATTAATATATTCAGTATTTATATCCCAATTTAAAGTAATATTTTTTTCCTTTTTGTTTAAACTTTCATAAAAATCAATGAGTTGTGTCTGATCACCATCCCATATGATTAATTTATCATCAATATATCTATTATATACTAATACTTCTTTTCTGATATTATGGAAGATATTAATTTCTTCCCACTTAGCCATGTATAAATTATCTATACTTGGGGCGAATTTAGCGCCCATAGCTACTCCTTTCACTTGTAAAAAATATTCTTTATCATACCAAAAATAGTTATTAGAGATGAGCGAATCGAACTTGGCGAAGTGGAATTCGTTTCGAATATTAGGAAAAATTTCGATTCGCGCCGAATCCGAAAATTACCAAACTTCGGATGCACGAATCGAATTTTTCCTGATCGGCCGATTTTCATCCCTTCTACAGCCGGCAAAAAGTGTCCCTGCAGAGAGCTCCGCTATTTCTGACAGTTCTCTGACAGTTCCTTCACATTTACAGCGGTTGAAACATTGTATCTATTTGTTTCCATTTAGGATACAGATGTTTTTATTCGGAAACAAATAGATACGTTTCAACCGCTGTAAATGTGAAGGAACTGTCAGAGAACTGTCAGAAATAGCGGAGCTCTCTGCAGATACACTTTTTGCTGTACTGGAATTCTTATTTTCATCCTACTTCTTCTTCTTCATCCTCATCCTCTTCTTCATCCTCATCCTCTTCTTCTTCTTCTTCATCCTCATCCTCTTCTTCATCCCTCATTCTCTTCTTCTTCATCCTCATCCTCTTCTTCATCCTCATCCTCTTCTTCATCCTCATCCTCTTCTTCATACTCATCTTCTTCATCCTCATCTTCTTCTTCTTCTTCATCCTCATTCTCTTCTTCTTCATCCTCATCCTCTTCTTCTTCATCCTCCTCTTCTTCATCATCATCCTCATCCTCCTCCTTCTTCTTCTTCCTCACCATCATCCTCTTCTTCTTCTTCATCCTCATCTTCATCCTCATCCTCTTCTTCTTCATCCTCTTCTTCTTCCTCATCCTCTTCTTCATCATCATCCTCTTCTTCTTCTTCTTCTTCTTCATCCTCTTCCTCTTCATCCTCTTCTTCTTCTTCTTCATCCTCATCCTCTTCTTCTTCATCATCCTCTTCTTCTTCATCCTCATCCTCTTCTTCTTCATCCTCATCTTCTTCTTCATCCTCATCCTCTTCTTCTTCATCCTCATCTTCTTCTTCTTCATCCTCATCCTCTTCTTCTTCATCCTCATCTTCTTCTTCTTCATCCTCTTCTTCTTCCTCATCCTCTTCTTCATCCTCATCCTCTTCTTCATCCTCATCCTCTTCTTCATCCTCATCCTCCTCTTCTTCTTCTTCTTCTTCTTCTCATCCTCTTCTTCTTCATCCTCTTCTTCTTCTTCATCCTCTTCTTCCTCATCCTCTTCTTCTTCATCCTCTTCTTCTTCATCCTCTTCTTCTTCATCATCCTCTTCTTCTTCTTCATCCTCATCTTCTTCTTCATCCTCTTCTTCATCCTCATCTTCTTCTTCATCCTCATCCTCTTCTTCTTCCTCATCCTCTTCATCCTCATCTTCTTCATCCTCATCTTCTTCATCCTCATCTTCTTCTTCATCCTCATCCTCTTCTTCTTCTTCATCCTCATCTTCTTCTTCCTCTTCTACTTCTTCCTCATCCTCTTCTTCATCCTCATCCTCTTCTTCTTCATTCTCATCTTCTTCTTCTTCATCCTCCTCATCTTCTTCTTCATCCTCATCCTCTTCTTCATCCTCTTCTTCCTCATCCTCTTCTTCTTCTTCCTCATCTTCTTCTTCTTCATCCTCTTCTTCTTCTTCCTCATCCTCTTCTTCATCCTCATCCTCTTCTTCATCCTCATCTTCATCCTCCTCTTCTTCTTCTTCATCCTCATCTTCTTCCTCATCCTCTTCTTCTTCATCCTCATCCTCTTCTTCTTCAATTGAAGCTGCTTCTGCTCCGCCACTCTGCCATTGGACTCTTGATAGTCGTCTCCCCACACTGCTGCTGGGGGGACTTTTTAACATAGGCCTCTGTATGGCCTTCAATTTAAGCTGCTTACGCTTCGCCACTCTGCCATGGGCCCCTGTACCGCCTCCTCATGCTGCTGCCAGGTCCAGAGTGTGTCATGGGTCCCTGTACGGCCTCCCATTGCTGCTGTCTCCATCGCCACACTCTGCCATGTGCCACTTTCAGGTCTCCTCACACTGCTGGTGGGTTCCATTTTGTGATAGGGTGCTGTATGGCCTCCCATTGCTGCTGCTGCCAGGCCCGTAATCTGCCATGGGCCCCCGTACCGACTCCTCATGCTGCTGCCAGGCCCATATTCTGTCATGGGCCCCTGTACCGCCTCCTCATGCTGCTGCCAGGTCCAGAGTGTGTCATGGGTCCCTGTACGGCCTCCCATTGCTGCTGTCTCCATCGCCACACTCTGCCATGTGCCACTTTCAGGTCTCCTCACACTGCTGGTGGGTTCCATTTTGTGATAGGGTGCTGTATGGCCTCCCATTGCTGCTGCCAGGCCCGTAATCTGCCATGGGCCCCCGTACCGACTCCTCATGCTGCTGCCAGGCCCATATTCTGTCATGGGCCCCTGTACCGCCTCCTCATGCTGCTGCCAGGTCCAGAGTGTGTCATGGGTCCCTGTACGGCCTCCCATTGCTGCTGTCTCCATCGCCACACTCTGCCATGTGCCACTTTCAGGTCTCCTCACACTGCTGGTGGGTTCCATTTTGTCATAGGGTGCTGTATGGCCTCCCATTGCTGCTGCCTCCACCGCCACACTGTGGCTCTACACTCTGGTTTTGGCCCCGTGACTGCCCAAATGAGTGAAGTGTGCGGTGATTCTAAGATCGACGGCACTCATCTGCATGTCATACTGACTGACAGTATTATTTCTCTTCCCCAGCAGACTCCAAGGGCATTTAAATTAAAGGTACAGTGTTCTGCACTAATATAAAGGCTCTCTGAAGCCTAGAAACCCTTTTAATAAGTTAAATTCGCAGCGAATAAATTCGCATCGAATCGAATTTATTCCGCAAATTCGGCGAATCAGCGAATCGAATTTTTGAATAATTCGCTCATCTCTAATAGTTATGATCTAACAAAATTTTAAACATTTCATAATGAACCTTTTATGTTTACTTGGGATATTAGAATATTTATTAAGGGTCCACATTTTGCCGTTTCTATAGCTCCTTCATGGTCAATGTTAGTATATAGCGATGAGACATCTGTTGTACTTAGAATAGTATTTGGGTTAACATTTAAATTTTGGATAATTTGTATTACATGCTTTGTATCTCTAAAGTAAGCTGTAGTTTTTACCCACTAATGGTTGTAAATAGTTTATCAATATATTCACCTAATCTTGAGGTTAAAGAATCTATACCATTAATAATGGATCTGCCTGGTGGTTTACTAATGTCTTACGTCTTGTGTATTTTTGGGACTGAATAGATTATAGGTAGTTTGCAAACTGAAGGTACCAAATATCTTTCTTTATTATTTAAAACTCCTTTCCGACTTTCATATTGTATCAATTTAATAAGTTCTTTTTTGTAGACTTTTGTAGGATTACCATTTAATCTCTTGTATGTATCAACATCACTCAGCATATTATTCATAGTGGATTCATAGTAATCTTTAGATACCATCACTATACCTCCTCCCTTATCTGCTGGACATATTACTATATCCTTCCTCTTATTGAAGCTGTCAATACCTTTTTTCAATAATTCTTCTTTATATTTTTTAATATTCAGAGTTTCTGAATCTTCTAATACTAATTTTTTTAAAAATATCTATATAGTTATTGTCTACAATGTTGGAATTAAAAACTGATTTGTTCCTTAGATTACTATGATGTGTGGATGCATCCTCACGACTATTATTTTTATAATAGGATTTTGAGCGTAATATTTTTTAAGGTTGAGGTTTCTTACAAATTTTTGTATGCTCACATACGTAACAAATTTAATTTAGTCCTCTAGTTGGTGCAAATTTTAATCCCTTATCCAATGTATAAATCTCTTCATCTTTTAAAATTGCACCACTTGATTTAATACACCTTCTCCTTTTAGTCCCTTCTTTTTTTGTTGATGCCTTCTTCCTCCTCTACTCCCTCTTTTATTAATACGTTTTTTGGTTCTTCCCTTCCTTTTTTATGGTGGGATCAGAACCCTCAAATAGAATTAGGAAGAGGTGAATCTGGCTCTTCCAACTCTAAAGGTATCTATTATGTTGTGGTATATTATAAGGTTTAGGTCCTGGTTTCTTTGTGGTTTAGGATGGTATGGTACCTGGTTGCAACTATGTTCTTGCATCTCATGGGTCTCTTGTGTGTAATACCCTTGTGTTCCTCTAGAGGGATAACCTCTATACTGATTATTTTCAGTTCTACCTCCCTGTTGGGGATAATAGGAAATAGCCCTAAATTGGCCTGATGTTATATGCTGAGGTTTCCAATAATTGGAAATCTGAATTTCTCCGAGGTGGCTGTGTGTAGCCATTATAATGAGGTCTGTAATCTCTATACTCGTTCCTAGGGGTATACTTAAGCGGTGTTTTTTAAAACCTAGTACTTTCTTTTTAGGAGATAGTTTCCTCTCCATTTGACTGGTGCAGAATCTGTTGATTTGACTTCTTTAGTTGTGAATTTTGTTTGCCACTTAACTTGTTTTTTGTTGATAATCCTGATTTACTCTTAGGTATTTTCTTTCTTATTTTCTAGATCTTTTTGATGTACATTTTTATTCAATTCATTCATGTATTAAAATCTGGATAATCTTTAATATTTTCTACTTTATCTTGGTATGCTTTCATAAATTGTTTAAATTTGCCTTTGTTTGCTTTTTAAGAATTGGAGTACTTCTATGCCTTTTTCACTAAAAAAGTTATACCATTCCTCAATGTCCTCTTGTTCTATTTACCCATCATCAATAGGTAATTCTCATCTGAGTTTTCTAGGGATCATTCTCTCCTTAATATGTTTCTCCATTGTGATAATATCCCGCCAGGTATTTTTTTTTTTTTTTTTTTTTTTTTTTTTCAGCTAACCTGAGAGTCCCCAGGTGGAATAATAGAAATATTAAAACGTATAAGCTACATCTCGGGAAGGAGATTTACCACAGGAAAATATCTCATCTGTCCTTTTAGGAAAAAAAAGTTTTAGCTTAATTTTCAGCTATGCTAAAATTAAGGTGAGCGCATAAGAATATCAAATCAAGTCCATTTGATGATGCTGGTTTTATCGGTTTACCAACACAGAGTGTGGACAATATTGTATGTGTGTATGTGTGTATATATATATATATATATATATATATATATATATATATATATATATATATATATACACACACACATATACACACACACATATATATATATATATATATATACACACACACATTTTATATGTAATTTCAATTGGATTTATATTAGGAGTTATATTCTACAGGTTGATAGACAATTTTTAGTTACATTTATATAAACACATTTTCTAAGTTAGATTTTTAATCACATGGTTTATAGTATATTGATTATATATTTATCTTTTTGGAGCGCGGCACATATTTACGTTATTTATTTGGCTACAGATTGAGGCTGTGTCTATAAGGAAAGTCAAGCAAATCTCAGCTATGTGCTAGGAGGAGGAGTAGATCTGTTCAGTACCCTCATTTCACATCTCACCCATAAAAAAAAAAAAAAAAAAAATTCCCTCTTAGCACACATCCTCAAATTTCCCATCTTAGCAGAAATCCTCCCTGCCAAATCCCCCCTCCCAGCACAAATTCTATACCCCAAATCCCCCTCCTAGCATAATGCCCTCCCATTCCCCCTCCAAATTACTCTTCCCAGCACAAGTTCTCCCTCCCCCCTAAGTCCCCACCAAAATTCTCCTTCCTAGCACAAGTCCTCTGCAACCCTCTCCTCTTAACTCAAATCCCCCCTGAAAAAAAATCCTCCTCTTAGCCCAAATCCCTCCACCCTAAATCCCCCCTCCTAGCACATATCCAACCAAACTCCCTTTCACAAATTCCTTCCCAATCGCCCCACCTAGCATCATCGCCCCCCCCCATCCCCTAACACATAATTCTAGCATATACCCAACCCCCCTCCAAACATCTCCCCCAATCCTCCTCCTAGACCTAGCATATTAGCCACCCCCCCCCTCCCCCTCCTAGCATATTTCCCACCCTCATTCCTCCTAATAGCACATACCCTTCCACCCTGACCTTAGGCTCACATCTGTGCGGGTGGTGCAGCTGCGGATCCGCACAAATATCCGTGCAGCCACACCACCCGCACAGAGAAATGCAGACCCGCGGGCAGGTGCCATTAGTTCTAATGGCATGCTGCCCGCACTGGAAAATGCAACCATACTGGGAACCGAAGTTCCCATTCAGACTGCGTTTTTCCAAAGAGGTACAGGGACTTCTTCCCTGCGTGTCAGAGGCATGGGAGTCCATACAAAATGCGGCCCACACACCCAACATATATGTGAACCGGGGGTATTGCCCTCTTTTAGCAAATATCTCCCTACCTCTCATTCCAAGCACAAGTCACACCCTCCAACCCCTCACATTATGTTCCCCGCCTGAAAAGGAAAAAAAAACCCCAGGGAGACAGGCGGTTGTGCTGTGTGTCCTCCCCTTCCCATCAGTGCAGCGCTCCTCCACACACAGAATCAGTAGTTCAGGCTGCACACAGTGTAATTACCAGCACGCTACCTCCTGCAAGGACTACTCATATCCCAGGAGGAGGAAATGTGTATACGGAAGATAATTAAATTGTGTGCCAAACGAACTAACAATCTTGTGTGATCTGCTGTGTGCAGGAGCACTGCACTGACAGGAAGGGAGGACACAAGATAGCCTGTCTACTGCTGCCTGAATTTTACTAATCACACTGCACATTCCTGTGTTGGGATGGGGAAGAAACTCAGCCAGCTGGGGGGGGGGGGGGCCACCCCAGATCCAGGCATGCTGCACAGCATCCTAGTTTGACCCTCCCCTGCACCCCTCCATCAGTGCTGGGGTCACATTAGCTCAGTAATAGCTAAAAAGTGAAGAGAAACACTGGAATAGTACCAGTGTGCAAGCGTATTTGCTTTGTAAGAATAAAGCACCTCATATTGGGTGTGCTACATGTGGATGTTATATAAATTAGAATAGTTTCACATTTCAGAATAGGGTGCCTCAAGACTGTCCATAAAAGGGTGCCTTGATTAAACAAGAAAAAGGTTGGAGACACTGGCTTACACCTATAGCAAGAGCATTATTATTTATCTCAGGTACTTGTATAGCACCGTCAATTTACGCAGCGCTTTACATATATATTTTACATTCACATCAGTCCAACTTTATAAGCTGCTAAACTGCAGCTTTGTGTAGAGAGCTGGTTTCCTGCAACCACATACCAGTCTGTGCTGGGGGCACACTCCCAGCACAAAGATGGGGGTGTCAGTAACGATCAGGACTGAAAACTCCCCAATTCTGGGTCACATGATTACTTTGATATCCAATTAGAGGCTTTCACAGCAATCACTGTGACGCAAATCACTTGTTTTCGCTGAATGGAAGAGAGATGCATTGTATCTCTGCCCTTTCAGAGAGGAGAAAAAAAAGTTCAGAAAAAGTATACCTTTGATCAATGTCAATGCAAGGGTTAGTGTCTGGGTCAAGGTTTTTTTTTTGTTTTTTTTACCACTTGCCCTGCAGAGTATTTACCCTCCTTCCTGACCAGGTCATGTTTTGCATTACGGCACTGCGTTACTTTAACTGACAACTGCATGATCATGCAACACGGCACCCAAATTAACTTTACGTTTTTTCCCACGAATCGAGCTCTGTTGTATTTTATCACCTTGGGGGGATTGCACAAAAAAAAACCCACAAAGAGAAAAAAAAAAACAAAAACTATTTTTGACTTTGCTATTAAACATGTCCAGTAAAA